TCTGTGGGAGTTCAGAGCATTCTCATGTGTATTTATGTAACTGAACCAGAAGTTGCTTTTACGTGACAATGTATTTTATGTTCCAGGAGACAAATAACATGTTTGTCATAGGGACAGAGGGAAATCTTAGACAAGAGTAAGAGTACTGCTTGTTGCTGATAATAATGACTCCCCCCCTTCATCCCAGTGATTTGCTATATCTAATGGCCATCAGAAATTGAATCCAAATGAGAAGTTTATATATTTCTGCACACTGTATCTGTTCATAAGATATGTAGGTACTTAATAGAAATTTCTGCAGTAATGGAAATACAATTTTTAAATACTTAATATATAGCTGGCTTTGCTAAACCCTCTGTGCATTGTCTTATTTAATCCTCAGTGTAATCCTATAAGGCGGGTACTCTTATTGTCCCCATTTTATAGTAAGGAAGTTACAGTTGACAAGGTCACACAGCAAGTGGGTGGGCGTTTTAAGATTTGAGCTGTGGCTCTCAGACTCCAGAAGAAAATTAACTCCATACTATCTCCTTTGGTTCAGTCAATTCAATAGTTTGGGTTTTTATTTAATTATTTTATTTTTTAAATGTTGCTATCTACTTATTAAACCTACAAATCTGTCTTATAGGAACAAGTGGTGATGAACTTGGACAGCAAGCTTCTGATCTTCCCTTTATATATCTGCTGTAACTTCTTGTATATATCGCCAGAAAAAAGAATTGAAAATAATCGTCACCCAGAAAACCCAGAAAACTGAGCATCTCATCAGTTGGAAACAGTAGCACTTTGAAAACTTTTTAGGCCAGTTTTAATTTAATGGCCCTACTGATATTCACATTTAAGGTGACTAACAATGACAAAGGCCTTATGAACTGTACAGATAATACCGAAGATTATTTTTATCCTCATTACATGTCTATGCATACATCAAAAAACATTTTAAAGCCAAGAAAATATCTGTCAAACCACTTAAGTAATACAGATGTCAACTCATGCCTTTAATTTAGCATCAGTAGAAAATTGCTGTAGGTAAATTTCAGTATCTCTGCCACAAAATATAGATTTAATTTTTAGCTTAAACTTTCATCCTACTAATTGAACCTCAGTTATCCATCAGTAAATTTATTTTTACTTGGCTAAAAGAACGCTAAAGGAATAATTTGAATGGCTAATTATAAATTTTCTCTCAATTGGTGCATTTAAAGCTGTTCTTTAATTTTTTCAGCTGCTCATTATTTTTCCTTTTAGTCTAATATCTTCCCAATCTTTCAATTGTTAAATACTTTTTTCATAGTTTTGGAGACGAAGCTGAGGATCTTTTTATTAAACTTAAACATTTTCATGCTATTTTCTTTTAATTTAGCTTTCCTAGGATTTTAGCAACAGCAAAGAAAATCAGCTTTGGACCTTCAAATAAACTTGAATGAGGGAAAAATCAGTTTGGTTCTGAGGATATTACTTTGCCTTACATGGTCTTTTCTTTGACGTTCTGTACACCTTTATTATTAGGTTATAATTTATGTTCCAAATATTACATTTTAAACATTTTCTTATTTTTGATCTTTAGAATTATTTATGTTCAAATTTTAGTTGGGAATCCTGTTTCCTTCTTAAGCTCAGGACTTTATTACCTCTGAACTGAGTGCCTTTGAGTTACACATACTAATAGAAATTTCATAGTAAATGTAAATAAGGTCAAAGGATCTAATACAGAAGCTGATATTAAAGTGTTAATGTAAAAATAGAACTTATGTTTTGTCAAAAATGAGACATACCCTTGTCATGATTTATATATGTTAGCTTCTTGTGCTTATTGTTATTTTGAAAATAGCCATGCTCATTTTCTTTTCAGTCAGAATAAGTAGTTTTGTGGTTAATGTATATTTTTAGTATTTTTTTTTAAATGCAAATCATTTTTATGTATCTGTGTAAATAATAAATGCCCATTTGGAAAAAGAATAAATAAGCTTTTACATAAAGTGAACCAAAAAAACTTAATTGAAACCAGAATTTTTTTTCTTTCTAGTTAGATTTTTTTCCACCTACTTTTAACTTCTGGAACTTACTGGTAGTTTTTCTTTTCCAGTAATGTGTGTGTACTGTAGGTTTCTTAATTGCCTTTGATCTTTCAAAATTCATCCACTTGGTTTAATTTAAAGGAACCTTTTAAATGCTTTCCCCTCCACCCCCAGAACTGTAGTTTAAATGTTTCTAATACAATGATTTGGTTGTATCAGGAGGCTACATTTCTTATTTTTATGTTTGGTTATAATTATACCTCATGAGATGCTGTTGTTTGTTTCTTTGTTAATTACAGCATGAGAGTTTCCTTACCCTTTATGTATTAATATATAGGTGTATATTAATATACAGGTGTAATATATAGGTGTATATATATATACACACACACATATACATATATACCCAACTTAAATTGAATTATTTGAATAATTAAAATTTTACAAATCTTGGAAATAAAGATAATTAAAGTTTGAGTATACTAATGAGTGAAATAAACTATCATTTTATTTATATAAATTAACTGGCCAAATTGGAATTATATATGGTTCCTGTCCATTGTTCTTTCCTGGCCAAGTTGCTTGTCATCCATAGTCAGGATAATTATTTCCGTATTCATATAAGTTACGTTCTCATCTGAGAAAGATAATTGTAAGCTAGTACTTCACATTGATAGTAAAGATCTGCTTTTGTTTTCTTACCAAATATTTTTAATGTGTTTGCATACTGTTTTTTCTTTTTCAATAGGAGTATATTCAGTAAAGTGTTAATAGTATTAGCTGAAATATCATATAAACTGTGTACATGAAACATTTTGTGTTTGTCAACTTTTGCTTTACAGCCTCTACCAGTCTTTTTTTTTAACTGCTAGGGCTAGAAAACAATATTTACTCATTAATAATTATTTTTGCTTTTCTGTCAGTAAAGAAGAGGTCCTTAAGAGAATATGGTATAGAGTTTCATGCTAAATTATTAAAAAAGAATATGAATGTACTTTCCCTTTTTTTTTTTTTTAATGGACTTGGCTTGAATTTTAATAAGATAAACAAAATTAAGTGAAGAATAGTGGTACTCACTGTTTGTTTTTTTAACCAAGTGTTTAGCAGCTAACATTTTGTCACCTTTCAAGTCTTTCAATAGAATTACCATTATATGTGAACAGTTTTTAACATCAAATGCAAATATAGGGTTACCAGGTGTTACTGTGGCTATTTAAATTTAATTAAAATATTTATTTACTTATTTATTTTACAAATCAATCCACAAAACTTCATTATGTTTCTTTAAGCCAGCATCAGGTAAAAAGAGTAATTTTTAAAAAGACAATAGCAATGGGCCGGTGCGGGGCTATTTAAATTTAATTAAAATATTTATTTACTTATTTATTTTACAAATCAATCCACAAAAATTCATTATGTTTCTTTAAGCCAGCATCAGGTAAAAAGAGTAATTTTTAAAAAGACAATAGCAATGGGCCAGTGCGGTGGCGCACTGCTGCAGTGCGCCGCTTAGGAGCGCGGCGACGCTCCCGCCAAGGGTTCGGATCCCACATACAGACCGGCTGCTCACTGGCTGAGCGAGGTGCAGGTGCAGCGCCGAGGGTTGTGATCCCGTTGCTGGTCCCAGTCCGGTACGGGCGCGACACTGAGGGTTGCG